TATCATATGACCTCTGAATCACTATCACCATAGACTGCTACAAGTGGCCAGGTTTTTGAAATATTTACTTTAAAAAAGGACAACTATGGGGTCAGGGCTTTTCCCCATAGTTCTCCTAAGGGTAACGGGAGGACACAAACTAGCGTCCTCTCGTCACTCTTAGCTCAGTATACCGCGTAGCTCGCGATATACTGAGACGCCGCAGCCGGGACAGATCCAGACATTGTCGAGATCCACCCAGCTGCGTGATTGACAGCTGGCTCTGCCCATCTAGAGGCAGAGCGGGCTGTACCCGCCCCCTCCCCCGTCCGTTCCTCTAGTCTGCTTCGAAGGATTGGCGCTGGGAGAGGGATCTCTGCAGGGAGCAGTGAGTGACAGTCACGGCTCTCTGCAGGGATATGATCGAGAAGTGAGTGAGCGACTATGTTCTCTCACTTCCCGATCTATTGATCCGACATGTGACAGTTTCATTGTCACAGGTCGGCTCGTACTATGAGGAGTGATTTTCACTCTCCTCATAGTTCTCCTTTAACAATCTGATAAATCCACCACGAGTAGCATTTGGCTGCTGCCACTGGTGTCACATGCTTATGGCTCTGTAACTAGAATGGCAAAGTACAGATGGTTTGATAAGATGACTTTCCATCACTTACCACTGCTGTGCGTCCGATGATGGAGTTTGGCCCACTCAAGGAAATTAGAGAATCTGTTAATTCAACATCTGCAACGCCACCACTTGAGGTTACATTTCCGAGGTCTCCAACATGCCTGAAGGACAAAAACATCTCCGCTCAAAATATAAAACGACCTAGTAGAGTAAAACCAAAAAGCATGGGCTTCACCTAAAGTCCTCGTTCCCTCTACAATCTACAGCTCTCCATAGCCAGGAGGCAGCTGGACATGTAGGCACACCAACTTCAGTGGAGGAACTTTACCCAGATCTTCAACATAATCCACCTTCAGAAATGTTCAGTAATGACAATCAACACACACACATACTTCTAGATAATTGCCGGCTTTGTATTCTGTGCAGTCCTTTCTTCCCCAGTCTTCTGGCAGCGGCCATTTTTACTAAGGGCAGATTTATATATCTCCCTTTACTTCCTGGCACATGTGACTAGGACATGTGACCATGCACATCATCTCAGGGGAGGAAAATGCCTTTCCCTGAGATCTCCTGAGATTGCAGATGAGATTTCCCAGCAATGCTCTGCTGATATAATCTACCCAGGATGCAATGCTTGGGCACAATGACATCATTTGCACCAAAGTGGACCAGGAAGTGGAAAGAAAAATATATGTTTGACTAATGAGTGCAATACGATTTTATATCAGCATGGAGAGCTGTATGATACAATTTTTAGTCAAGTGGGTGAAGGTCCGATCTAAAGCAGACATACTCCCCCCTCCCACTCCAGTCATGTGACCTCCACAAGCTCTCTAGCCAGCATCCTCGCCCGGACTTTTCAGGTTTGGGATCTTCAGTCATCTTGATTGTCCGTACCGGCATGGCACATCTCCTGCACATGCACAACGTCCAGAAAACTGCTAACAGGCAGGTAAGCGTTCTTTACTGCAGAAGAGACCGAGGGGAATTTATCAAAACTGGAGCAGACAAAATCTGGAACAGCTGAGCACAACAACCAATCAGCTTCTCTCATTTTCAAACCTTAGCTGAACAAACTGAAGAGAGAAGCTGATTGGTTGCCGTGCACAGCTGCTCCAGTTTTGATACATGGCCCCTGTAGTACGCTTCTCCTGCAATAAAGAGTCTGCCTGTTCACATGTAAAGTGCCAGTTTAAGGACAGCCAATCGGCATTGTTCCATAACTCTGCAGGACGAGCCGGTCATGGCAATGCAGATGTTTGCCTGAACCATTTTGTCACATGATATAGTTCACATTTTAGGCCTGGAAGTTGCATAACCCCCCAGAGTTACATATTTCCAGGGACCGGAGGCCCTGTAGAATAAAGTTGTGGCAGCTCCAAATTTCTGATATTAGCGCAACTCGATCAAACCCCAAACTTCAGGAAAAAAATACAAGTTAATGTTGGTGCCCAAAACACAATTTTTCTTTACAAATATAAAAGGTTATGACCGATACCCAACATGCCCAGCTTACAAATTGCACGCGCTCAGGAAAGGGCAAATAATCCCATAACCCCAAATTGTCCCGTCGTCTCTTCCGGTTTCATTCAACAGGTCAGCAAGTTTGCCGTCTCTCCCTACTACCTACCAACACCCATGTACCGGTCCCAGGGCCACAGGAGGGGAGCCCAGAAAGTGAGGTGGGGGGGCTTTGGTCAGTTAACTGTCCCTTGGAAGTCATAAGGTGGTTTTACACAGGTAAACAGACTTCAGAGGCCTGCTGCGGACATATGGCATATGTGGGTGCAAAAGGGTTAAAGTTCGGTTTACTGCTCTAGATGATCCGATGCAAAAGAGCTCAGCAGAGGAACGATGGACACCGGTAATTAGAAAAATAAACCTCGTTTAAATGGTTAAACTTTTCTGGAAGGACCATGGGAAAATACTACAGCCTGATGGGAGTGGGCGGGGTTATACCTGGCCAGCCAATGGCTTTTTTTGGCCTGTCCATTGGTTATGTTCAGAAACTCCATTCAAAGAGTGCCGAGCAGAACTCCAAGCAAGAGTTACCACAAGAGTACCTGAGGAAAAAGAACTTCAATGTTAACCTGAAGCTGCCCATGTGTTTGATGCTGTGTGCCATTCACCAGTCATGTGCTCAGCCCAGATTTCATACACATTTCCCTGGCCGCGCTCCTCCCCGGACGCCATATTAGCTTTGATAAGGATATGAGCAGACAATGCTGCTCCAGGTTTCCTCCAGCGCTGGTCATATGAAGAAACGCTGACACCAGATGGAATATGTCTAGAAGCATGGTAAGACACGGCTCCTGGTTGATGCATCTCCTAATATTTACTACTGCAGTAAATCCTGATGAAGATGGTTCACTGATAGAAGCGATATTTACCTTTCCTCGTCACCTGGACCGCCGTGCTTCTTGTTGCAGGGGTTGAAGTGTGGCCCGGCACTTACACAGCCTGTAGGGACAAAACACACGTCCATCCTATTAGAACGCCTCGCATACGCCCGCCATACACAGATCAAATGGGGTTTGTCAGCTGACCCCTCACCTAGAGGGTAACTTCCTTTAGTTACCAAATATATCAGGTTGGAGGCCTATACAACCCATTTTAGACGGTCAGAAAAGGTAGGCCCTGCTACTACATCAGCAAATCTAAAAGGACACTGTACAATTAGATGGCAATGTGCACAGTCAGCCCAACAATGGTGACGGAATAAGCTATTACAATGGTGGCGTTCTAGTTTAAGTCTATTCCATATGCTCGTGTGACTCCTCAGAGGTTACCTAAACTCTGCCAGCTGCTTCCCTACCAACTATCCCACCCCGTCATCTTCAGATTAGGCAAACGCACTCATCAACATATCACCTGCTTTACAGCAAGGTGCACATGGAAGGGCTTTATACAATACAACAACAAAAAGTTTCCCAGCACACTCACCAGCCAGCATGCAAAAAACCTGTCTCACCGCTAAGGTTAAAAACAGAGATTAGATACAAGTCTTCTGCAGAATATGTGAAAGCCGCACAGCCGCGCCAAGGCACCTCTATATAGTGCGGTCCTAACTCTAACCTATGAGAGTCTCCATCTTGGAGAACATGTAGCAAAAGACAAAATTGGGTGCAGGTTTGTCAAGAGGAAGCCCGATATCCCTTAAAGGTACAGGGACGCACAAGGGACCCCGCACATCATTGGGGTCTCATCTGTCAAGCCGCACTGCACAGAGCACAGCATTGTGCTCAATATTCTGTACCAGAGCTGGAGAGACCGTCTCCATAAAGAGAGCCTGTCACCTCCAAATTCTATCACATAGGGGCTTGTTATCCCCCTGTGACAATAAAGTTAAGTGAAAGTGATAATGTAAAACATTTTAAATAGAGTAAAACTCACCCCTACACCCCCTACAATCTGCATGCGAATAAACACACACTTAAGGCATTGTGTGCGCACTGCCCCCCTTCCACTGTACCATATTGTGGCAGCAGCACTTACCCTTTACTGCACATTGTGCGTGTTAGAGAGCGCTGCTGCCACAATATGGCACACAGGGGAAGGGGAGCAGCGTGCACAATGCCTTACGTGTGCGCTTATACATAGTTTTACTATATAGTTTACATTTTTTTACTTTATCCCTTTACCAATTCAAGTGAAAGTTAAAAAACGTTCTGAGAAAATGAAATTAGTGGCTTAAGTCTAGGCACCCCTCCCATCCCACCGTACACTTACCTTTCAGCAAACAGCCCTTCCTCTCACCTGACCGCACTGATGAGAATGATCAATGAGAAGTGCCTCTGAGCATGGTTAAATAATTTTGGTATCACAAGAAGATTGACAAAAGGGACACGTAGATTGGGCCCCCGCTTTAGTCCTTGGACATTTATTTAAAATTTCCACAGCCCTGTACCATGAGGGCCCGTTCACCCTCGGTCATCCAAAGACTGCATTTTAGAGGGCGGGCTAGTGCGTTGTGGCAGCTGTTCCGCCCCCTTCCCCAAGCAGTTGTAAGCCATCAGAGCAGACAGAGCAATGTCTGAGTAAGTGGACAACCCATACATACCATTAGTGTTATCTCCATAGGTGTGGATATGAAAGCCATGTTTGCCATCAGTCAGGCCAGTGATGTGAATGTTAACTTTTACTGGTCCATCACCTTCCTGTTGAAAGATAAAATCATCAATTGAGTGCAACCCAATATATAAAGATGAGTATATAAAACATACCAGAAGTATGCAGCAAACAAACCACCAAGATGATCATTGGTCATAGCAGAGACGGTATCAGAGGATAAGCCCCCAGCTGAATTCAGTCTGGTTGGCGGATGCACAAAGGGTTCGGTGTAAGCGTTACCTCTCCAGGCCAAACACCATGAAGACAGTTCAGATTAGGGGACGGGGGCTTTGGAGTTCAACTCAGTTCCGGCCGAGATCAGTTTGTGACACAAAAATGAACCAACGTACACCATCTCTTATAGTGCTAAACCACCAGCATCCATGCAATATAGAACATTTACTAGGGATGCACCAATACAGATACCGAGTATTAATGCTGATACCGAGTACCCGTACTCCCCCCTTCAAATGCTCCCAATACCGGAACTTCTGGTCACCAGGGAGCCGGCTTCCCGGCCAATCAGCAAGCCAGCAGCATGCAATGACTCACCACTTGGCTTCCTTAACCCTCCTGGCGGTAATCCCGAGTGTGACTCGGGGTTAATTTTCAGTACCAAAAGCGGCAACCCCGAGCCACACTCAGACGCCAGGGAGGTTAATGGGACTTCTCGTTGTGGCCACCCCCATCCGTGTGCCCCTCCAATGAGTTGCAGGAAGGGGAGGGGGGAACCCCAGGGGGAGGGTGTTGGATTGACAGACACTACTCTCTGCAGGGAGAAGAGAACAAGAGCCGACTTATCAGTAGTTCCATGATTGCTCAGCTCTCGGTATATGGAGCCAGTGTAACAGATGCCGTGCCCTACGTCAGCTCTAAGCTCCAGGCCAAGTACATTTTACTCTCCCAATACGTCTTTATATCAGACTTGTCCAAATCAATCTGTTTTCTGCTCAGGACTGCAGGCATCAATACCAAATATAAAACACTTTGCTGAATGAGAGACATCCTGATGTGTCCAATTATGCCAACAACTCCCGTAATAAATGCCTCTGCTGTGCGGAAAACTAGCGCGGGCGTTATCTGCATTATGATGTCTCAGCTCATTCAAGATGAATAGGCCGCCTGCAAATATGTAATGCCAAAACTATGAATTGTAGTGTAAGGAAGGTGAGAACCGCTGGGTAGAGTGCCCACTGTATTGGTGTCCATGTGACCAAGTAATGAGAAATCCAAAAATCCTTCGTCACCAGAAAGAGGCGAGGGGAGATCCAATGGGGACAGCTGCAGCACCGAACCAAGAGGCCGCCCCCTCCCTTTAAAGATATTGGCAGGATTTTATCAAAACTGAGACAAAATCTAGAGCAGATTTGCACCGCAACCAATCAGCTTCTCTCTGTCAAATCTTACCTGAGCAAACTGGTGAGAAGCTGCTGATTGGTTACCATGGGCAACTGCTCCAGATTCGTCTGCTCCAGTTTTGATAAATCCCCCCCCACAAAACACAACCAGCATAAAATAAGCACAGGGGTTTGATCCATCCCGGCTCCGACCAAAAAAGGAAGATTTAGTCTATGTGCCAAACCTGGTAATGAATATCTACATTACAACCAACCACAGACACCAGGACATGGAGGTGATAGACACAAGTATTTAGATCACATGCACTTCCCCCTTCCAAATGCCAAGCATGGAGACCAGCATTTCCTAAAGGGACCCTGAACTCAGGAGATAAATCTTACAAATACATTCAAGTACCTTAACTATTAACAAAAATGTATCTTATTTGTGCGTCACTCGGCTTTAGATCAAATCATCTCTGAATTGGTGCTGACACTGCCCTTCCTTCTGGAGGGGGGCTACTTGTGTTCCCCATGGTCCCTGTGTGTTGTAAAGTAGTCAGCGCTCCAAGCTCGCTCCTGTGACTACAATAGTCTATTTGTACGGAGATTGTGGTCCCATCACGGGAGCCATTCATTCTGCAAAATTAACATTTACATTCTTTCTGTGCAAAACCTAAAGACGTTCTCCCGCAGATGCAATTGGTGACACCACAATGTGGCCACTAGATGGAGCCACAGAGCAGAGGAAACAAGTGCCAGTGAGAGAAGGGAAATCCCAAATGACGAGTTGTCACCAGAAATGAGAGATGTAGAAGGGGCTTTCCTCACTATGGAGAGATCTGACTCGGATCTCTCAGATGAAAGCTGGGAAAATACAGACATGTGCAGAACTGACAACATGTATTCCTAATACAGTCTACCGTGTTTCCCCGAAAGTAAGACCTACCCCAAAAATAAGACCTAGTTCGGTGGTAGATCTCATATTACAGAAATCACTGACGATAGTGCTAGCCGCAGCTCCCTTCCGCCCCCCCCGCCAGGCACGCCCCCCCCCTGCTCCCTCGCCCACCAAATCATTGCCGAGCGGCTCTTCATCATCCTGACCACGAAGTTCGGATCGGCTGACAGAGCACCCAGAGCGGCTCCCTGGACTGCATCAGAGCGCTAGCCGCAGCTCCCTCCCGCCCACACACACGTCTGTGGCTCCCTGGACGGCAGAGCGGACCGCTGCAGCCAGGTAAGACATCCCCGAAAATAAAACCTAGTGTCTTTTTTCGTAGAAAAAAAAAAATATATAAGACACGGTCTTGTTTTCGGGGAAACACGGTATGCTGAATAAAATGCAGAGTCATTATCACACAGCAAAGTCAGACTCTGCTAAGAAAAACAAACTGGCATGGGATCACTTCCAGCTTTACAGAATACACAGCGATCACAGGAGACAGCAACCAGATCTGACCTGGAAATTGGTGTGAACCTGCCGCAGGTCCAGTGCATTCCAGACCAGACAATGAGACGTGCAGTATTTTTCTGGTCTGGAACAGACTGCGCTGGTGGGAACAGAGGCCAGAAATAGCATAGGGATACATTAGGATACATTTTGGGTCCGGAAACAATCTGGTCTGGTGATCTGAATGTGGTGTGAATGGGCCCTTATAGAATACACAGAGATCACAGGAAACCCAGCAACCACCAGAGGGGAATGCGTGCATGCATCTACGGTACACAACAGCATTTGCTATAATGTACACGTATGCATGTAATGCAGGGTTAGGCAACCTTAGCACTACTGTTGTGGTAACACTACAAATCCTATCATGCCTTTGAAAGCCTCTCAGAGGCAGAGTCTTGCAATGCCTCATGGGACTTGTAGTTCTGGAGTGCCAAACCCTGATGCAATGCAATGTCCACACTTCCTGCAGCCGATCACACGGGGCTTTAAACAGATACTTCTAGATAATTGCCGGCTTTGTATTCTTTACATACCTTCTTTCCTCTCCATTCTTCTCACAGTGCCCATTTTCACTAAGGGTGGATTACTAAATCTCCCTTTACTTCCTGTAACTCTGGCACATGCGACTAGACGTGTGACTAAGACATGTGGCCAAGTACATCATCTTTCTTACAATAACAGTTTGGCACTGCCTGGTACTCTTGGGCATTAGTGATGCAGCCTGTGCCTAAGATGCATCCTGGGAAGGTTACATCAGCAGAGCATTGCTGGGAAGTCTCATCTGTAATCTCAGGAGATCTCAGGGAAAGGCATTTTGCTCCTCTGATATGATATGCATGGTCACATGTCTAGTCACATGTGCCAGAGTTACAGGAAGTAAAGGGAGATTGATTAATCTGCCCTTAGTAAATGATCACTGCCAGAAGACTGAGGAAAAATAAGTTATGTAAATACACCGCCGGCAATTATCTAGAAGGATGTGTTTGTAGATTGTCATTACTAAACATTTCTGAAGGGGTCTTTGTTGTCATTGCAAAGACCTGGGTGAGGTTCTGTTTAATATCAAGCTGCAGATTCTTGTGGCAGGAGTCACAGGAGGGAGCCCCTCAGTCTTTACAAACCAATGCGACAATGGCCGCAGCTGTCCATCCGTGTGCGGCTGCAATCAAAAAAAGGAGTGCTTACCTTCATTAGAGACAAATGATCCCCGGACACAATGCTAGTGGGGTTTTTATTTTTAATTTAAAAAGAGAACTATGTCTGTAGTTCTCTTTAGGGTCAAAAGACGACATTTACCAATGTCCTCCTGTGACCCAAAGTCAGCATATAGCAGGCTACTCCCCGCTATATGCCGAGCTTAGAATAAAGATGTCATCAGCACGACAGATTCCAAGTCAATGCAAATCCATGTGATTGAGGTCACTCGGATATGAAGCGCTTTTGGGGCCACGCAGGGTCCCCTTCATCAGGCTCAGAGATTGAGAATGACGACAATTGTCATCTGAGCCTGATGAAGGGGACCCTGCGTGAGTGAAAAGCACTCATAGTTCTCCTTTAACATACAGACATTGAGAAAAGTCATTTCAGCACAAAGCAACTTCACTAAACTTGGCGCGCCGCATCCCTTCCAATCCCTCCTGAATCTCTTGCATGTTTTCTTTCTCTGTCCCTTGGACCCGATTCATGTCAGACTAAAGTCCAGAGAGCGGCATAACGGCCGCCCCTTTATTGTGATCTGAGACCGGCAACGAGCCCCGAGGGCGCAGATACCAATCTCTCCGCAAACCAGAGCTGCAGGTTGAATCGGGTGGAGAGAAGAAGCTGCCAAGAGAGGATTAGGAATTACAAAACCGTCCAGGTTATGCAACCTGCAGCCCAGGAGGGAGTATGAGGGGCGTGCACAGGATCTTATGTAAGTTTAGAGAACAGAACACCAGAGCACATAGAAAGGCTGAATGTGAAATAAAAGGGGGCGGGGGCAAAAATCAGTTCAGCACTCCACCAGAAACCGCTCTTAAAGTGACCCTGTCATTGCAGTGAAATAGCCAAGGCCTTGTAGAGCACATGGTGGGCAACTCCAACCTTACCATGGTGCCTCTGGGAGTCATGCCTGCCAGTCTTGCAATGCCTCATGGGACTTGTAGTTCCACCACAGCTGGGGGGCCGTTATTCCCCACCACTCCTGCAGTCCTTACCTTGTTGGGGGGAGGGGAGGGGGCGTCAGGTTTGTAATCTAGGCTGTGTCCCGCTGGGTAGATTCACCCTCCTGTGTCACCATGATATAAAGTAATGAGAAAGCCCAAAATTTATTTGGGGGAGGGGGTGAAATTGGGGTGCCAATTGTACCAATCATTGCAGGACAGACCGGCAGGGGACCCAATCCTGATACCTGGCAAGCAACCAACAACCACAGCAGCTAACTCCTCAAGGTGGTGAAGACTTGCTGGGGAAGTGTACATTTTTTGCAGAGTGCTTTCATTAAAGGAGCTGAAGGAATGGGACGGCATCGTATAAAATAGCCAAAAAGAGGCACATCAAGCATTCTTCCGAAACCCGCACGCATTGGAGGGTTATCCAAAACAAACGCACCGCAATGCAGATGGGGGTCAAAACTGGAGCAGTTGGCAACCAGCAGTTGATAAAATCTGGAGCAGTTACCCATGGCAACCAATCAGCTTCTCTCTTCAGTTTGCTTATGCAAGCTACAAGAATATAAGAAGCTGATTGGTTGCCATGGGCAACTGCTCCCCTCAGAGTGCACACTACCCACAATGCACCACAGCAACAGAGCAGGACCAATGGGTCCACTTTAATGTCATTTGTCCGCTGAACATTCACATCTGACGCCTCTAAAATAAAAAAAATGACCAATAATTGCCGCCAACCAGAAGACCTCCCCAGACCGAGGACTACAAGTCCCAGCAATCCCTTACTTGCAGCATCACGTATCTACACAGGAATCACGTGGTCGTACAGAGGACAGCCAAGGAGAACCACAGATGCCAGCAATGCCAGAGCTGCAACGTAATCCCTTTGGATACCCAGAACTACATTGATAGCACAACGTGACCGCAAACACAAGTCCCAGCACGGTAGGACAGACTCCCCACCACCGGGTCCCCAACGTTCACTAGCCCAAGGTCTACACATTACTCAGTAAGCAGGAACGGACAGGGTCCCGCTCACATTCCGGGTTAGAGCCCGGCCACAGGAGACGATGCTTGCCTGCTCGAAGCGCACCACGCCGGCCACCACCTCGGAGCCCTTCAGCACACATATAGCCTTCATGTTTGCAGAACGCGATACGTACGGAGGAGGGGGAGCGACGCCAGTTCTTATATAACCACCCTGACGTCTCAGGTCACGGCGGATCCCACCGTCCAATGGGAGGCCTGCTCTCAGGAGCTCCGCACGACGCGCCGACCAATCGAAGGGAGCCTACGGCGCACGTGAGCTGCCGGGCTGCAGAGAATGACAGCTGCCTGTCACAGGGAGCCAAGAGGAGGGGGAGGGGCGGGGTGACAGGCTCTGTTGGGCGGGACACGCAGTGCTGGGCGTGGCTATGTCACCTGCGGCCGTAAAGGTAAAGTGCTGCAAAAAAAAGATTACAAAACATAAATTCCCGGCCAAGTGGAGAAAGGAAACCATTGAATGTAATGACTGTCTGCAGACATGAGGAGTGGAGCCTGGGTTGGAGGATTGGAGGAAGCAATCAATGGACTTTCACCTCTGTTATGGAATATGCACAGAGCAGAGCTGAAGCAGGTCCCGCCCACTACAGGCTGCCCGCAGAAAACTACAGAAGGGGGCGGAGACAAGACCTGTCACCCTGTACAAGAAGGGAGAGCAGCGTGACCGGTCTTCATTACAGGAACTGTCACACAGGATTACTGCACAGATCTGGAAGAAATACACAAAGCTCACCAAGATTCCAGGAAGAGTAAACATGACTCTTGTATGAGGATCATTCTTCTTATCCCAGTTCAGCTGTCACATTATAAAGCCGGCCAATCTGATTGTACAATATTCTTTACATCTGCTGACCAGTATGTGGTACAGGGGCCCCTCAGATTGCATACAAATCCAAGGAACTGTCGAGTTAGGTACTCATATCTAAAGGAGATTGTACAATCAGATTGTAAAGTTTATGGCCAGCTTTGGTGTCAGAGGACTCCCGACGTCATCAGCATCTCAATCACACACGTTACAATCTGATTGTACTGCTTTTGTACACTGTACGTCCCCGCCACTAAGTGTCCAAATGACTGCTCATGCACACTGTACGTCCCCGCCACTAAGTGTCCAAATGACTGCTCATGTACACTGTACGTCCCCGCCAATAAGTGCCCAAATGACTGCTCATGTACACTGTACGTCCCCGCCACTAAGTGCCCAAATGACTGCTCATGTACACTGTATCTTGGACTTTGAAAAGAAATTGGAAGCCAAGAAGATTTCCTCAACCAAATTGTCAGGTTTTCCTAAATGAACTTTGTCTGCGGCTGCTTATAAATAAAATAAAAAGTAGGTTGTGATGGGCAGCTGATGCCCTCGATGCCAGTTGCAGATATTACCGGGGCGGATAGACGGTATCGGTGGTACTGGAACAACTGCCCTGAAGATAGAATACACTGCAGCAAAGGAGGCGCGTGATTGATGTCGCAGAGAAGAGAAAATGGCTGACAATAGAATAGAGTTTTTTAATATTTTTTTTTATTCATTCATTTTTTATAAAATATTTTTATTTTTTACTTTACTTTTAGGGGCTCCTAAAGAGTCCTCAATCTCTTTTCCTGCAGCCCCTGTTATCAATGAACAGGAATCCTCTATACTGAGTGTTCCTGATCATTTATAACATGAGGACAGAGTGTGTTTACTATAACCACAATCATGAATGAGCAGGAGGTCATGTAGATCACTTCCCATTCATTCATAATTGAGGATATAGTATACATACCGTGTCCTCAATTATGTACAAACACTCAGCGATCCCTGACTGCTTGTACCTTGCTCTCCATCCTGACAGCTGTCACAGGAGGCTGTGCGAGCGGTGCTGGAGGAGAGCTCAGCCTCCTGTGACAGAGCGGCCTGTCTCCGCCCACACAAGGCTCTGCCCGACTGTGATAGGAGGCTGAGCGGTGTGGGAGAAGAGACACGTCTGAAACTGGGACAAAATTTAATACCCCAAAAAGTCCATACACAACGTTTTATAAGCCCCCCACAGGTCATCAGTTTAGAGATTTGTGTAAATATTGGCTCGAGAATTATTGCTTTCACTCCGTGTGCGGCGATACCCAACAATCGTAACGCAATTGTGTAACGCAATCGTCGTTTTCGTACATAGGCACACACGACGCATTTTTATGTGAAAATGCGCATGCTCGCAGGGGTGGGGGGACTTACAATATTTTTTTTTTCTTTATTACATTTAATTAATTTAATATTAATTTTAAAACTTTTATTTTTATTTTTTTTAGAACTTTACTTTAATTGCTATCACATAGGGGGGCTTACAAGCCGCCTGCTGTTGCTAGGGAGATTTACCCCGGTTGCTAGGCTGATCTTGAATCAGCTGAGATTGGTGTTTATGGTGGAAAAACAGCTGGCCAATGAGTGTGACCTTTCACCTGTCAGTGGGCGGGGTCCTGGATCTGCTATGGAGCGGCATCTGGACTGTCACCTGTGACCAGGGAGGATCTGGGCATCGCAGTGGTTGGTGGCCATGATGTCGGACGTGTGACACAAATCGGTAATTTGGAAAGTTCAGATGTGCCCGAATGTCCAGATGAAGCAAATAACCAATTCCAACGTATCCGAATTTTTAATAACGAAAATTCAGATGCGTCCCAATTTTCTCTGGATGTCATTGTGAATGAATTAATAAACCTGAAAATAAAAAAAAAAAACAGGGGTCCCCCCCCCCCAATTTATATCAGACCCTTTAGGTTTGGTTGCAATTTTAGGTGGGACCCCTTGCCCCCCCCAAAAAAGAAAATGCGTGTGGTCCCCCCTAAAATACCTTACCAGACCCTTGATCGAGCAGCAGCCTGGCAGAGCAGGAAAGGGAGGGGGGAGCGATTGTGCGCCATACCAGGCCTCATGCCCTCAACATGGAAAGGGGTTTTTCCTCTGGCAATGAACCTTGTCCCCAGGTTGATGAGCACAAGGGCCTGTTCCCCCACAACTCTGGCCCGGTGGTTGTGGGGGGTCTTATCTGAATCTGGGTGCCCACTGTCAAAAAAAAGGGGGCACACAGATGTCACCCCACCTCGTGAGTGAGTAAGGGATAGTTGTTGGTGTGCCCGTAGCTGCAGGAAGACACACGTGGGCAGCTCATGTAACTCTATGGAGACGCAGGAGTTGTGCGCCCTCAAATCCTGCTTCCAGCAGCTCCATGTTTTAGATAGTGTGCGCCTTTGGATGCAGACAAGATGGATCCTGGTCCAAACACCGTCTGTGTGCGTCTGTCAAAACTTGGAACTGTTGGAAGCTGTGCGCGAGGGTGCACAGGTCCTACATCTCCATAGAGTTCCATGAGCTGCCCACACACTTCCCGACGCTCCGTGTGCATCAACAACCGGCCCTTCGCACTATACAGAGTAACACACCCCTTGTGAATGAGGCCGTAAAACTCCCTGGAAAGAGAATGGGGAGAATTTATCAAAACTGGAGCAGATTTGCACTGCAACCAATCAGCATCTCTGTCTCATTTTCAAATCTTACCTGATCAGACTGAAGAGAGATGCTGATTGGTTGCCATGGGCAACTGCTCCAGATTCTCAGGGCCTAAAGTCCCTTTTTTACATATTTAGAGGATCTGCTGGTTTGGCACAAATGCATTTCTAGTTCTATACGGCAGGAGAAGTTGTTTTCGGTAAACAAGTGTATATGTCTGCAGATGCAGTGGGATCTTTTGGATTTGGTGCTTTTCAGAATGGCAAATGGTGTGCAGAGGTTTGACCCCGATTATTGTATTCACGCTGACTACACTAAAAAATGAATTGTATGGAACTGTGCCCTGCCTTCCCTCTCGGGTCCTTCGGGTTTCTTTCATAAGATGTGGGCTTCTTAGCACTTGTAAATGCGCGTCGGGTGCACCTATGTGCAAAAACAACTATTATCACATAGGGGGCTAACAAGCCCTGGATGTAGTAGCAGATAGGGTGTGACAGGTCCTCTTTATGGAGACATCAGGGGTCTTTCTTTCAGACCCCTAATGTCACCTAGGGACCCCAAAGAAGCTGAGGAATCAGAGATCTTCTTCCCTAGTTTCTTCTCCTGGCACTAAGAGCCGGAGACTTTAACAAGTGACACCGGAAGTGATGTAATACACATCACTTCCGGGTCCAGTGATAGGCGGCTGGAAGCTACAGCAGTCGTGTTCTTGTTTTAACCACTTCTGCGGGCCGCCATCTATAGACGTATTGCGGGCCGGAAGTGGTTTCAGGAAGAAAAAAAAACAACACACCAAAAATCAAACAAATTGTATTTATTTCAATGGTAAATGGAAAAAAATCTCAGAAATATAAATACAGGTATGAACACATTAGCACTCTGATTGAATCCTCTTGTTGACTGATAACACTAGATAAGAAAACATTACAAAGTCGTATTAGGAAGTATACAGAGAAAATCTTACACCTATGTACAATACTGATGATGCCACGCAGATCTTTTTTTTTTTTTTTTATTGTATTTTTCATTTCATCACTTAACGACCAAAAGCTAAAAGGATAAAACGGATTTGCGCCGTGACATCTCCTTGTCGGTGACTTCACAGCATTAAAAAGGAGAACTATGGGGTAAGCGTTTTTCCCCATAGTTCTCCCAAGGGTCACGGGAGAACACAAACTAGCGTTCTCCCGTCACCCAAAGGTCAGTATACCGCGATACAGCTCGCGGTATACTGAGACGCCGCAGCCGGGCGGATCCCGACAATTATGTCTGGATCCACCCAGCTGTGTGAGTGACAAAAGTTTCATTGTCACACGTCGGCTCGTACTATGAGGCCGAGTGATTTTCACTCACCTCATAGTTCTCCTTTAAATAAATTAAACGCTTGTAAAACCAGTGATTGCATAGTCACCTCTGAGATAACTAAAACACACACACCTATGTACCTTTATATTAAAAAGGGAGGGAGGGGGGGGGGGATGCCCCAAATTGACACTCTTGTTGCATCAAGTTATGGAGCCCAGTATCAGTTATAAACCAGCAACTGGCTAGAATGATAAGAGAACAAAAAAATCGCCAGCAGGAGAAAGCCAAAAGCTTCCTTGGGCAGTTAAAAGCACGTTTTTGCCCCATAGACTTCGATGGAAATGCCCCAAAACGCGAAGCGGAAGCATGTCGCACATTTTGTGCGATTAAATGTGCGTTCTTCCATTGCCCACAATGGTTCACGAGCTGCCAGTCAAAAGGCGCGTCATGTACACTCATAAAAATGGGCACAATGCGCATAAACAAGCACATGCTGCTCAACAAGCAAAAACTGTGCCGCCTAGGTGCGAACCCGGCCTTAATGTTTAAACGTTTTGGTTTCCTGTAGAATCAGCTGGTCCCCTGAGCTCTGGTCCTGACTTCCTGTTTTAGGGCGGCTCCTTTCCCTTGCAGGGTCCTATGGAGCCACCCTTGTGTGCGCTAGTAAGCCGTGTATCCCCCTGTCACTTCCTGCTCTTCCCTTCTCCAAGCTAGTAGAGGGATGGCTGCTGAAGACTGCTCTGTCTCCTGTAATCTTGTACTGGACAGGAGGTTCAGGGAAGCCGAGCTGAGAGTTGGAGCTGTTCTGATGAACATGATGACTTTACAGAAATGTAAAGAAGTATTTTGCTGGGCGATGTATACGTTTGCTGTGGACACATTACTGAAAAAAAATACTTGAGCGTGAATGTAAACCCCCAACAACTAATTTCTCCCATTGACTTCCCCTCGGTCTGTTAAATACACCATTGCAGGAGAATCCAGTGAGCTCGCCAGTCCCTGCTCTCTTCTGCAAAGACTTCTCAAGCATTGTTATCAACTCTGCCCAGTTCATCCTATGTGAAGGATTCCTTCTGTAGTCCTAACACACTTCCTGTCCTAGGGTGACAACACTGCTTCCTCCATACATACCACATAGTGAGCGTTGTCATCCTAGGACAGGAAGCGTCTTACTGGCAGGATCGCCAGGTGAAAATAAAGGGAAAAAATGAAAGCAGCCACCACATCCAAGGGCCGGCAATAAGTTATATTTTTGTTCTTGGGTTTAGTTACATGTTAAATATCCTGTTCATCAGTCTGATGCTAGTCCAGGGTGGGCAACTTCAGCCCCCCAGCTGCGCTTTAACTACAAATCACAACATGCCTGTAGCTGTCAGTCATGCAATGCCTCATGGGACCTGTAGTTCCACAACACCTGGATTTGCCAACCCCTGGTCTAGTGGCCGATTTCACAGCTGCCTCCACAGAGATGGGCTGTCTGTATTCTCATTGGTCGCCAAAGTCATAGACAAAACAAAAGCATTATTTTCTATAAAAAGAAAGAATGCGCCGTCTATAATAACCAGACGGCTCCGACTACCCATCTTCCGGTGCACTAACAGCCGGCCCGTACAGATCCGTGCTGCGTTCACCGCCGTATCGGGCAGCTCCCTGGAAGGACAGGTGCTGCGTGTCATTGCATGCATCAGCCTGTTCTTCTCTATGGGAGTACACGGCCGCACGCTCACCCGAACTGCACATCCATACGGGTGCCCGTACTTGTACGCAGACAGGATGGATCCTGCCTGCGCCCGAGCATGGACAATCGCACCCATGTGCAGGTCGGGTGATCCTACAGCCGCGTACTCCCATAGAGAAGAACAGGCTGATGCATGCAATGACACGCAGCACCTGTCCTTCCAGGGAGCTGCCCGATACGGCCGTTCATGCTGCACGGATCTGTACGGGCCGGCTCTCATCAGTGTGAATCAGACCTTATACTGTCATAGAACACCCTACCGACTTGAATTTTATATAATTTATTTAGGGGACAGATAGAGCTTTCTGTTGGTGGTATTTAAATCACCACTAGGGGAGGGGAGGGGGGGGTTATTTCTTACTATATAAATAAAAAGTACCACAAATCTGTGCGATCACTTAGGGGGCACGTTTAGCCCCCTATGTGATAACAATAAAGTTAACAGTAAAAACAATAATAATTTGCGGAGCCGGAGTCCTGGGCCGAATGAAACCAGACCTGTGGATTAGGAACATTGAAGTTTTCTCCGGTTTCCATCCGAAAACATTATGGCCAAGTGACCCTCCTGCATGGACAGGCTCAGCACAACGAGGCCGGGACATTACATGAGCAGAGACCAATAGGAATGATCTCAATGAAAACACATTCTTCATACACTAGAAAAATACAATCTCATCATAGCTACACAGAGCCACACAGCTCCACTTCTCACCATCTTCAGAGGCCACCAACGCAGATCTCACGTGTACAAATACCTGTCGCCTGGCTGTCTCAGATTTCCAATCGTCTGAACCGTAGACTCTGAACAAACATGCAGATTAGTAGAAGGCAAGTGAAGCCAGAAATCATCATTTGCACGCTTGTTCCAGGTCAATGCCTCAGAAAGTGCTGCAGGCTTTACTGCGGCACTCCAGCCAGGTAAGTGACATCTTCAGAAATGGCAACCTCTGTTCTCTCTGTATAGACTGTCTCAACCAGGGGTAGCCAAACTCCGGCCCTCCAGCTGTGGTGGAACTACAAATCCCATGAGGCAATGCAAGATTCTGACAGCCACGACTCCCGGAGAGAGATGCATCATGGGATTTGTAGTTTCAGTACAGCCAGAGTTTGGCTACCCCTGGTTCTAAAGGTATTAAAGTGCATTTATCTACGGGTGAGACAACCTTGAAAGAGCCTGAACTGTACAGCTGAATACCAAGAAAAGGTCGAACACAGGAGGTAGCCAACCTCAGCACTACAGCTGTTGTGGAACTACAAGTCCCACGAGGCACTGCAAGACTCCGACAGCCACAGACATGACTCCCAGAGGCAGATGCATGATGGGATTTGTGGTTTCAGTGCAGCTAGAGTACCTAGGTTGCCCACCCCTGCTCTAACAAGTCCAAATACTGCTGAAGCCTTCCTGCACTCTTACTGGCCATAGTGATAGGAAAGGAACATCATAGTGATAAACCTAAAGGAACCTGAGGTGGCAGGACTGTGGGAAACTTCGGCACTACCTAGATCAGGGGTAGGCAACCTCACCATTGCAGCTGTGGAGAAGCCACAAATCCCATCATGCCTCTGGGAGTCATGTCTGTGGCTGTCAGGAGTCTTGCAATGCTTCGTGGCACAACAGCTCGTGTGCCGAGGTTGCTCACCCCTGACCTAGAGGTTTGCCTTTCAGACATATCTGCAGACTTTTGGAAGATGCTGCAGTTCTGCGTACCTGTATGTGCTTACACTTCATACCCGCAGCTGTGTGTACTAGAGGCAGCAGGTATCTGGCACCGACTCCTAGCGTCCTACAGACCACATGATGTCTGGCGCACAAACAGCAAACATTTGTCTTTATCTAGGCAAATAACACTTTTCCCACAAATTATATCTTTAGCATAACCAGCCCTACTATTGGCTCAGATGCTCATAACCAGCCCTACTATTGGCTCAGATGCTCATAACTGCCTCATAACCAGCCCTACTACTGGCTCAGATGCTCATAACTGCCTCATAACCAGCCCTACTACTGGCGCATGCTCACTGTGCTTTTCAGGAAAGAAAAAATAATATCCCAGCATGCATTACTGAGTCAAATAGTTGTGAAAGGTTGTGCTCAGTGTAGTTGCTCTTGGGAATGCATTTCATACATAAGAGCAGAGAGAGGATCTGACAGCTGCCATTTCCCATAGAAGACAAGTGTGACAGTATCCATACATCAGAATTCTTCCTTCACTATGGTCGCCGTGCTGACAGTTCAGATTTTTGGATGGCAACATGGCTTCAATGACAACAATCGGGGCAATGGGTTGGAAGCGGTCTAAGCTGCGCAAGGCTGAAAACATGGCAGCTTTATCTAATGTTTGAGAGAGAATACAAATTCCTAGGTTTGTCCCAAATCCGGGAATATCGCTTCCATGTTATTTCATCTTTTCGGCTTTATTTGGCAATTTAAGCGTTAAAAAAAATACAGCAAAAAATCTGAAAATCTGTATAAAAAATTGAGGTAACAGCAGAGTGCATAATCTCTCTTCTCTTGTATACCTTAAAACAAAATTCTTCTCTTGTATAAAATCTAGCCATTAGTCTTCTTGTAAAAGTCCAACTTGCTGACCCGGCAGAACCCAGGAAGTCTTCCCAGCACCATGAGGGCAGCAAACCGTAATCCTCCATTGTGCAGACAAGTTAGTCATTCTCGTTGACTTGTTTCTCTGCCTGTTCCAAGACTTGCTGTAGAATGTCATCAATCACATCGACATCATAGTCCATCTGTTCTAAATTCAGATCCGGCATCAGCATGGTGAGTAATTGGGCCACATTAATTCTGAGCGTCCGGAGCTTTGCGCTAGAAAA